TGTGAACATCAAAGCAAAGTTTTGAAAACGCCACAGCAGAAATGAAATTGAAAACGGAAATAAGCCCCAAGCTCTTCTTTGTGTACAGCCTCCCGTGCAGATAATTCCACGCAAGATGCTCCTGATCTTTTCTCCAGTACTGTTCACTTCTTATTGCAGATTCCATTGTTCTTATTTCCCGTATTTCCTATTTTTCATTTTCTACTTTTTACAGCATAATCAGCATATAATTTTTTTTGAAGGGAACTTTACCAAAGTTATAAGTTGCCTGAGCTCTAAGATTGATCATTTTCCAGGTTGGTCTATTGGTCAGTTTATTTTTAATTTTGCAATGTCACGGAGGAAGAAAGTTACTGCAATACTGAGTCGTTTGTCGACTAAAGGACTGGGCATACCCCGGAAGTTGGATTGGATCGGTCCCAGTTCCCGCTTTCATAATTTCAAAACCAGGCACAATTTTAAGCGTAATTTGCAGTGCTGGTACCATAATATGCTACTTTTACTAGCACAATCTATTAGGGCCTGAATATGCGTAGCCAGAAGAATGGGCTCCTGGCGTAGCCTGATAATGGGGTCCGGCGGCTTATACCAGGATAACCAGAGTGGTTCTTTCCTTTTAACAGCAAGCCTTTCATCTCTTGTAAATTTTATATGTTAGTGGTAGGGAGCCACTAAATGGAGCGTAATGCAAAATCCTGAGCATAATTTTGAGCACAATCAGGAGGAAGGGATTGACTCCATTGTTTCCTGGTGTAAGTCGCCCTCAAAACATTACTACAGCGTGTTGTCACGTAGCATCAGAACAAGAGCCTCGCCTGGCTTGCTCAGTTTAGCAAGGAAACGCCATTAGTAGCGAATAAAGACAACTTAAACAGTACTTAAATTTAGACTGGCATTTGCACTGTACTGAGAGATAAGAAGCCATGTATACAATAACATTCACTAGACCGTTATTGTGTATGACCTTTAGCTGCTGCGATAAGTCTCCGTTCTGTACTTACTTGGTGGACTGGGATAGAACCTTGGAGGGATATGCCTTGGCTAGAAATGGCTCCACGGTCCACCGAAGTCCGTCCACCCTAAGCAATTGTGGAGGAACGTATGATCGCATTCGCTACC